GTGCTCGGGTAAGCGCCCACCCCTAAAAAATCATGATTTTCTGAGTTGAGGCCCCTGGGTGCTAACGCGGTCGAGTACGGTATTCAAATTGTGTATCAAATCACACAAAAGAAGAAGAGGGTAGCTTGATTGAATATGGTCTTCAATCTTTTCACTACCAGATTTCTTGCCCAAATTTTTCTGCACTTTTTTCTCATATTTCAATATTTCTGGAAATTAACCCTAATTTTAGAGCCAACAGATAAAATCTGAGTTAATTTTCAGTTTTTACTCAACAAATTTGGCTATTTTTGTCTTAATCTTCTGAAGGAATGTGCAGACTATAAACAGAACTATTTTGTGAATTTGGCAACTGGTGGTGAAAAGGTTAAATTAGTCAAATACTTGTACATGTTAGTTTACTTGGCGTAAACATTACCACATTGTCTTTGATTTAAGAAACATGTATGACATGCAACAAAATGCGTGCCATGACAAAATGTGTTGCTTTTCTGCGACCAAATTTATGTTTTGATTTTCTCTCCATGTAGGTCAATCTTACCACAGAGCTGAGTGCTGCCACCTCTAGAATCAGTACTATGCAACTAGAAATAGCCAATCAGAGACAAGCAGAAAGTGATCTGAAATTACAGCTTCAAAACACCATGGCAACCTCTCACCAAACGAGTGATGAGTTACACATGTTAAAAACAGCTAAGTTTGGTAGGAAATCTTCTTTATATAAACTATTTTCTCATGAATCCCACACACAATGCATTGTGGGTATTCCCATAAGTGTAAAACTCATTCTATAATGATGGTTCTATCTTTATATCTCTGTATGTCTTTCTAATCTGTCTTTGGTGTGCTATTGCAGAATGTGAAAGCAAGATAGAAAAACTAAGTCAGTCACTGAAAGAAGAAAAACTTGATGTCAAGAAATACAGAAGTAGACTTGAAAACTTAGAAGAAGAATTGTCAGATTTGAGATCTGAGAAAGAAATCCTGGAAAAGGTAAGACAAAAAATACTATGGGTCAAGTTTCAAAAAATATAAATGCTTTTCATTCCTGTGTGCAAAACATGTAAAGGGAGTTTGTGCAGTTACCCTGCCTGTTTGTATGTATGGATGGATCGATGTATGTCTGTTCTACAGATATCTCAATAGTTTTCAATGATACTTTGTACATTAGCTTGAAGGGCTAATTTAAAATTTTGAATTATTTTAAATATGTCCCAATACTCTCATTTGCATTATTGGTTTCACAACACTGTGATATAATTGTGATATGCAGGTCATGTGATATAATTGTGACATGCAGGTCATGTGATATAATTGTAATATGCAGGTCATGTGATATAATGCAGGTCATGTGATATAATTGTAATATGCAGGTCATGTGATATAATGCAGGCCATGTGATATAATTGTAATATGCAGGTCATGTGATATAATGCAGGTCATGTGATATAATTGTAATATGCAGGTCATGTGATATAATTGTGATATGCAGGTCATGTGATATAATTGTATTTTGCAGGTCATGTGATATAATTGTGATATGCAGGTCATGTGATATAATTGTAATATGCAGGTCATGTGATATAATTGTGATATGCAGGTCATGTGATATAATTGTGATATGCAGGTCATGTGATATAATTGTAATATGCAGGTCATGTGATATAATTGTGATATGCAGGTCGTGTGATATAATTGTGATATGCAGTTCATATCACTGTGATATTTCATGAGGCTGATGGTAGAGTCATTTATGTCTTCAGAATTTATCAGACCGGAAGCAGAAAGCAGCAGCTGAGAAAAGGAAATCTGAAGAAGAAATCGAGGAACTGAAGAGAATTCACGAGGTTTGTTCAAATGCAGCTATTTATATTCCGATATTGACCACACTTTGGCCTGTGTCACTCTGAGACACATTTGCCAAATGTTGTGCTTTCTGTGGTTTGTTGTGGCACATGTACCATAAATGTATACTTTGGAGTGGGTCACCTTTTATATACGAAACTGAATGATTATCGTATTTGCTGATATTACTGATGAACAACACGTAACGTTAAAAGATGAATTCTAGACAAGATGTTACAAATGATCCTGTATGTTTGGGGAAACTCAAATATTATATTTAAACCTGTATGCAAATAGATTTTTCTTCACCGTACTCATATCTTGCTGTTGAAATCTATATCAGGCTCACTGTGACCTAGGCATACATCAGCCAATCGAAATACACCTTACAAAATACCCAGTAGGATAGCCAATCAAAATTGTCGTATATGAGACTAACCAGGCTAAAAGATTCATATAGTCAGTGACTGATACTTGTATAGTTTTAGCACATTATTGCATTGGGTTGTAAAAATATAAATTGGACCAAATTCATATTTCTTGATTACTTTCCGCCTGCAGTATTTTTATATTTTTTCAAAATGTTATTGTTTTGCTGTGAATCATGCAGAATGTAAGAATATTTTGAACACGCTTCTGAAGCATTGTGCTAATTGTTTGCTGTTTTTTCTTTTTATTGTGCGCCGCTATAGCCTGCCAATGACACTGGCACTCAGGTACTTCATTGTTTCCTTCCTCATTACCATTCCGCATGACTGTATTCCCTGCACAAAGGCGGATGAGCAAGAGCAGACATCTGCAAAATTGATGCACATACATGTACTTGACAAATCTCATTTCATGACATTGCCTAGAGAAGCATGTATACATCATTGAGTAAAAACTTTGAATATCCAAAACCATGTACCATGAACCTCTTCAAATTTCAATATTATTGAAATGTGCGCCACATTGCTACCTACTCTTAACTTTTCTGTTCACTACAAGATCTCGCGAAATGCGTGAAGAATGCAGATTGAATGCCAGTTGCAGCAAAAATCAAATTATTAAATTTTTAGCTTGAATTTCTCTTTTTCATACCTCAATATCAAATTGCTATTTTTCAGAGAGGAATATGGTTTTGGGATATCCTTGCTTCAGTTGCAGCAAAAATCAAATTATTAAATTTTTAGCTTGAATTTCTCTTTTTCATACCTCAATATCAAATTGCTATTTTTCAGAGAGGAATATGGTTTTGGGATATCCTTCTTCATCAAAATTTCCCATCATGTGTATAGCACATCATGAAAATACGGCTTTGCGTTTGTCAAACCCCAAAGGAATGTTTTGACGCCACTGCAACCTTTGTTTGTCTTGTTTTTTTTGTTTGATTTCACACGTAACGCAGGATCTCACAGTGAACAGGAAATGGTCTGTACATCATGCACAGTAGATGGTTGATCTCATCAATGTGATTACTGTTTGATATTGACTGCCTGTCCGTTCTCATCAGCCCTTGATATATGTACATGCATGTATACTAATATCTATTCACTATAATGCATTCTCTTAGCACTCTCGTTCTTTTCCTTTGATATTAATGTGATACAGACCTTTTTGTAGTTTTGGATTTCCCTGAGTCAAATTTATATCATAATTTGTTTGCACAATAACTGAAGACTCATAATATAAGTGTAGTTATATATTTTATGGCATATCATCTCTGATTGAATTGGACACTTCATATCTAATTTTTTTTCCATTTTTCTCAACTTTTACATTTCCCAAACTAAAGCAAGGTTTTTTTTCTGCATTGCCTGCTGATGGCATTTCCCAATTCAATTTGGTGATTGCCGGAGGCTTTCAGTAACATTAATAACCATATTCATGGGGCTTCTAAAATGTTCTTATTATTTTAAAAGTTGAGATGCCTTGTAATTTCTTAGTTCAAAAGATATTATTTATGTGTTGATCAAGCAATAACTAATGTACATTTCCTTCGTGCAAATAGACAGACAAAAAATGTAGTAGCTTTTAAATAAAAATAACATCTATTTCATAAAAATTAGATACAACAAAAATGTTAACAGGCTTAATAATTAATATGTAAATGAAGTGAACAGCTGATTGTTTTTTGTATCTTTATGATATTAAAGTGTTATATTTCATCGGCTATAATTATAACTTAGTTCATTTTCGTAAACAGAATACAAAATGTTCATTTTCATAAATGGAATATAAAATGTTCATGTTCCAAATAGAATAAAAATGTTCTTTTTTTGTAAACAGAATACAAAATGTTCATTTTCATAAACAGAATACAAAATGTTCATTTTCATAAACGGAATACAAAATGTTCATTTTTGTAAACGGAATACAAAATTGTCATTTTTGTAAACAGAATACAAAATTGTCATTTTCGTAAACGGAATACAAATTGTCATTTTCGTAAACAAAATACAAAATATTCATTTTCATAAACGGAATACAAAATATACAATGTTAATTTTCATAAACGGAATACAAAATGTTCAATTTTGTAAACAGTATACTAAATTGTCATTTGCGTAAACAGAATACAAAATGTTCATTTTCGTAAACAGAATAGAAAATTGTAATTTTTGTAAACAGAATACAACATGTTTTGACTCTGTGAATGTGCCACTAGAATATTATTTCTTGAGAAAAAAGAAGGCGAGTCATGCAGGTTTAGAAGAAATCAGATTTTAATTTGTTTTTAAACTGTTGACATTTGAAAATTACAAATTTGCATATCAGAATATTGATACATCATCTTTTAGTATTCACTTCATTTCTGTCATAATCCATATTGAGTTGATTGCAGTCTTTGCATGATGTACTATGTGCCAGTGTCATCATTAAATCTTTGAACGCTAAAGTCAACTTTTGCAAAATACATCTGCATAATTTTTTCAAAAATTTTGAAATATTTGATTTGGACCATACCAGGGTGTCCCCTATTGGAAATTATGTTAGTTTGGTCTGAAATTGAGAAAACAATTATTGATAATAATTTTTTGGAAATTCTGAGGATTAATTTTTTTAGAAATATGTACTTACAAGTAATGTGGTTAGATCATACCCAAGCCTGCACCTATACAAGACAGAATGTCTGATTGGCTTAAAAAAGAAGATAAATCTGATTGGCTGATCAAATAAAGTGAATTTGACTGGCTTAGAAAAGGAGAGGAATCTGATTGGCTGATGAAATAAAATGAATCTGATTGGCTTAGAAAAGGAGAGGAATCTGATCACCTTAATAAATTGAAATGAATGTGATTAACCTCTGATAACTGATTCCTAAATGCATAGTGTTTGTTTTCAAGGCATGACAGTATCACTTACATGGCAGTCAACAGATTGGCAGAGTCTGTTTTAATGCTGATGGCGTGTTTTTGTTTTCTAACAATGAAATTAAATCTTTACTCCAAACGAAAAATGTTTGAACTTCATGCTATATTAACAGGAAGAAGTTGAGTCCTTGAGGTCAAAGTTGAGAAAACAGAAGACGTCAACAGATGCTGCAGCTGCAGAACAGGTAAAAAAAAACATAAGGAGTACGGCTGCAAAATCTAAGCAACAGCAATATGGCTATGTCACCGTATGCTGTGACAACCATGCATTTTATTGTGTCAGATTCACCTCATCTCTATACTGGTACTATAAAATTTAATTGTAGTCATACGATTGATTCATTGATTTAATCTTTCTACCATTGTCCTCTTCAAAATCATTTTTTTTATCATTTCAAATTGTTTTGAATTGAGTATTTTAATCGAGATTGGAACATCTAGTATATTGAATAATGAGGAACCACATTTTCTTATAAACCTGCATTTTGTAATAATACATATATAGCGATGATGTATTTTTATTTGAAATCGTAATTCCCCTGCCATGTATTGGGTCTTATTCATGTGTTTACTAAATCTGTCAGCAGCTACTCCCGGTACATGTATGAGTTTGCAATTATTTCTCAGTACTTTTTTTTTTGTGCTAGAATGAACTGCGTGCAGCATGTATGTAAACACAAAAAATAGAATTGTACTAAAAATATATTTCATATATTGTATTTGACTCCCCCTTTATGTACAGTGATACAATTTGCATCTTATTACTGCAAGGGCAAATATAATAACATCTGTACATATTGCCACTACAGGTATCACAGGTTGAGAAGGAGTTGGAATCACAGTACGCTGAGAAGTGTCAGCGACTGGTGGCACAGAATACTGATAAGCATACAAGACTCTATGATGAACTCAAGGAGGAGAAAGAAGAAGTGGTTAAAAAACTGCAAATACTTGAACAAAAGGTAAAACCTGTTCAGAAACAGCTGAAATTGGCGATTTTGCGTTCACTGACAGATCTTGTGTAATGCGTGAGAGATGAAACACACAGGTATATGGTGTTGAGATTTTCTTTACTTCATGAAAATTGACCAATATCCAATCTATATAGCACATTATTAAGCATGGAATTACCCACTGCGACGCTAAGACATTTCTTTGTTCTGTTATGTTTGATTTCATTCATAACACAGGATCTTGCATAAATAGAAAAAAAGTATATTGGAAGAGATCTAAAGCCACAATAAAATGATTTGTCTCTATGTAACATATATTTGTGCATTTCAATGCTCCACAGTCGTAATGTAGTTTATGCGTAACATGGGTCCCATATCAAACACAGCATGTTGCAACGTCTGTGATACTTTATTATTACTGCCGGTCATTCAGTATCATCCATATCATTAGCAACTGGAGCTTTCAAGAAGAATGTTTTCTCATCTTGCTAGCTCAATTTATGTTGACACCTACAGATTACAATGTATCTCGTGGAGAAAAAAAGTGTTCTGTCTTAATAAGCATTGTTGATAATAATAATAATGCCTTGTTCTAGTTTTCAACACTGAAATCATCTCATGGGGAAGGCGACAGGAAGCTTGATGAGCTGCAGCAACAGGTTGATGTCATGGCAGAATGGAAGGATAAGGTATGTAAAAATGAAGCCAGGTTTTGACACCCCCCCTTCCCTTCATGGGCACTGTTTGTGCTTGCACTTTTATTTCTCAGCAACATACAGGAAGATTTTTGCCAACTTCGGTATGAACCTCAGACAGGTTACTGTGGATAAATTTGTTTGTGATTTAATTTCTTATTTTTTGTGATTTTGCAATGCATCATGGGAAATGACCATGTTGTCCATAGCAACTATGCATTGCCCATAGCAATCGTCACACAACCATAGCAACCAGTTTAAAGCACATTTCCTTAAAATCTTTTTACATTTTTAGCTAGTATTTGGTTTGGTGGAAATAGATTTGTTGTTGTTGACAATGCCCATAGCAATAGAACCAAAACTTAATATTTGCTCAACAATTTAATCACCATTGCTAGACCAGACATTTATTTCCATGAAATGTGACCATGAAGTGTTCTCCCTAGAAAATCGGAATAGAATAATTTACATAATAATAATAATTTATTCATATACATGTATATGATAAATAACAAAACAAAATGAAGAATAAATAAGCAAAGAAGACTGAAAAATAGTTGTTAGACAACTAATCTAGCTTAGTCTCAAAAACTACAATAAACAAAAACAATTTATGACTATCAAGAGACTGTGAAATATTAAGTGTATAGAAACAATGTATTCAAATACAAGAGCTAATATAAACTTAGAAGATATAACTATATGTTAATTACCTCCATTGTATTCATTATCATGCTAAATTGCCTCTATTGTTTATCCAACCCCTTCTGTATAAAACCCTGAGGGAGAACCCTGTCTCTTATATATAACACTTCTGGTAGACAAGAAAAATGCTGTTCAATGCAGTCCACACTGTATATTGCAAAAGCCTATCAGATTTCAATATATTAGTCTCTCCATGGAGACGGAAATCCAGGTCATTCTAAATACCCGGTAACCCTTGGTCATTCCACTATATGCATAATAAACAAAATTGTCTGAAATCGTTTAATAAATCAGAAGTTCAGCAATAAATTCACATATGTAACAGATCTTATCGAAATATCTGAAATACTAGTCTTGTGCACACATCATATCAGTCTTCAAAACCACATAGTGGCTGTCCTATCAAAAATATCAAAGTGTGAGCCCTATAGTTATTGCCTTGTAAAATCAAGTCATAGGATTATTGTGATGCTGCATAATACATCAGACAGCTGTCAATGGACTTCATTTGAATACATCAAACTGAACAGGCAAATCAATGACAATAATTATTGTAATAGTGTATCAAAAACAAAACAGAAGTAAAGAAACTGATCTCAGCCATAGAGGGCTTAGACCCATTTTTGCAAGGAATATAATTAATTTATGAATTGGTTAATCATCACACATGTCTGTAATTATAACTCAATTTGTGAAAAACTTGAAATGACATATATTGGAGAGAGTGTGTAATTTTTTTAAATGTGTTACCATGTTTCAATTAAATATTTTGGTGAAAAAATAATGACAAGAATTCTATTACAGTATGAGTTTCTACAAAGAAATAACAATGCCATGAAGGAGAGATACGAGAGTAGAATTCAGGAGTTATCAGCCAGCTTATCAGCGGCCAGTGTTTCCATGGCAACCTCTCCAACTAGTCCAATAAGTGGTGGGTTTACAAGAGATGAAATGGTGGAGGAGGTAAGATCGACTGTAAGCTGTTCATTTTTCAGAACCCGTAAGGTCATTGTAGTTACAGATTCCTTAAAAATTCCAGTGTCAATTTCAATGCTGAAAATCTTTATAAATTTGTGTACATGATTGCATGAAGCCTTTACCAGGTTTGACCAGGATTTTGCTGATAAAAAATCAGTATTGTGAATTATTTTCAACTTTCAAAAAAACATATGTATATTGAATCTGATACTGGATGACTCACTGGTTAGGTACTAGGGTTGGGTCCATGCAAGTTACAAAGTGTGTTTATTCTAGTGATCACTCGCTGGTTAGGTACTAGGGTGGGGTCTATGCAAGTTACAAAATGTGTTTATTCTGGTGATATCACTCACTGGTTAGGTACCAGGGTCTATGCAAGTTACAAATTGTGATGCTTCATACTTCTGGTTCACAGGTCAAAAAGATTATGAACAATGTATATTATACACTCAGGAAAGAGTTTGAGGTTAACCAGAGTTATACCGGTTCTGAGATCCTGGCGACAATGCTGAACACTATCAAGGTGGGATATTCTTTATCTACAGTCTCCACCATCTTAACCTTTCCCCAATTTTTACCAACCACGTGCTATCTGCTATCTTAATTTTTTTCCAAATCTCTAGAACCACTGACACTATTTTCCACTTTTCCACTTTTTTTAAACTTCAGACTCTCAAATATTTTTACCTTTTCTCAATTGCTGATAACCACAGACTTTCTTCGCCATCCTAAAGGTTTCCCTAATTCTGCCATTTTGTTGGGTAAAATTTCTGATTTGTCATATTTTTTTAATGTAGACTGTCACCATGCAACTAGTAGGTCAACAGGAAAGCAAAGAAACTGATGAAGAGAGTGAGAGCGAGGAGGAGACAGAGGAAGAAACTGATGGCGGGGATGACAATGATGAAGATGATGATAATGATGATGATGATGATGATGAGGCAACAGAAGATGATAAAGTTAAAGGTAAATAATGAAACATCTAGCCACTGCAAATTAGGTTGCTGATGTGTTCTCAGTACTTCTGTAATGTTTGTCTGTTCATATACTGTCAATGCAATTAGAAAATGGGAAGGATTAGAAGTTAAGATTGTTTATTTGTAGAATCTGCTTTTTCAGTCAGTCAAAATCCTCAAGAACCAGGACATCAAGGTCCCCCTACCCCACCTCTACCTGAAGACCTTGGACCTCCGGCCTCTCCTCCTCCACCACCTCCACTAGAGGAAGAAGAATCCAAACCAGAATCAGAATCTGTTGTTACTGACATGTACAAGACAAATCAAGCAGATGAGCCAGAGGCCGCTGAGTCTGATAGACAAGATGAAGAGGATGGTGATGGTGATGGAGGAGCTGTCACAGAAACAAAGGATGATGATGATGAAGAACAGAAATCCGAGGAAGCTGCATCAGCTGCAACAGAAGATTCCCAGCAACCACAAGAAGAGAAAGCAGAAAAAAGTTTACCTTCTCAACAAGGTATGTGTGGCTAGAGAAACACAGAAAGTTTTTTTTAGACAGACATAGTTTGTATAATTGTTATTATATCAATCATTGATTTCGGAGGTGTGCTCTAGTCAGGATTTTCTGGAATATATTACCATGGGTCATATCACCTTTTTTGAACTTTGGGGCTCATTGTTTGAGAGTTTTCTTCCCCCTCTACTGGTAAATACAGAGATAGATTTAAGACTTACGTGGGAAAGGAAAGAGTCGATGTTATCATATACCTTGAATCACCCTGCCCTGCAATAATTTATCACACTCAGGCATGTTTGACCATATTAAGACATACACATGTATACATTTCCTTTATAGATTTGTCACACTCTGTACCGGGTTCAGCTAGTTACAGAGTAGCTGAAATCTGTAGTCATTTCACATTATAATAATAATAATAATAATATTTATTTACCCACAGCACAGAATGTAGCCATTATGTTCTGGGGCTCTCCTTTATAAACCATTGATTACATTAGGTACAAATACTTGTATCTGTCGGATACAGAAAGATATTTAGGGTTACAATCTAATGTCATTCAAGGGATTACATGTTCTACCGTAGTCTAGGTTCTGGTTCAACAAATTTTGCTGTAGTAGTGACCGAATGCTGCTCATCTTGTTGATGTTGTAGTGTCAAATATCAATCTACACTTTGAATAAATGACAGAAATAAAGATTATGAGCAAAATAAACGAAGCACCAGTAGCTTGAAATAATTGCATTCATTGTTCTTTGTGCGTCTGTGCGTTTTCACCTGTATTTCAGACATGCCTGGGCTGATTACATTCAAACTTCAATTATACATCATGCGTCTTGGACTATATATGCACCTTCATTGGTTGTGCGATTTGATTGAAGATGGCCGAAAGGCAGCCATTTTTGTGCTAAAAATTCATTTCAATATCGTGCATTTCTGTTATGCTGGAACTGTATCTTTGTTTAGTGTCAACAGAATCATAATTGGTGCATACTTGTGACATGATTAAAAATGGCCGACTGGCAGCCATTTTTATTTAAAAAAAACACATGAATGAACATTTTAGAATATCCTCAGTAGTTTCATTGTCACCTGAACCAATGTCAATTCAACTTGGCATTGACATCACTCATGGTGGGTTACAGATGTATGTCAGTTTGTTTGAGGATTTGATTCAAAATGGCTGACTGGCAGTCATGTTTGGTGTTATTTTTTTGTGTTCTTAACTAAAATCTACATTTGATTTGTTTTCGGTGTAAACATCACACATGATAAGTTACTTTTTAGCTCCGCTGTTTAGGTTTTTCTGTTGCATTATTTAAAGTATGTTTACTTGTTTTAGATGACCCCACAGACCAAGCAGAAGGACTGGTTTTAAAAACAACAGGTAGCCTTGAAGTTGACCAGCCATCGGAAGAAGAGAACAATGCGCAGTTACCAGAATCAGAACAAATTGCTGCTGATTTACCATCAGTTGCAAGTGAGGAAACTGCAGCAGAACCTGAATCCTCTGGACAAATTGATGTTGATTTGCCCTCAGTGGGGAGTAGTGACAAGATGGAAGAGCCGCAAGCAGAGGAGGCTGTTCAAGAAAATGCAGAATCCCCAGCTCCTGAAGATGAAAAAGAAGACATGTGAGTCTATCTTACATACACTGATAAATTTTTAGTATAAAAAATTAAAATTCAAAATCACCTACTCATGAAATTAGGGTTGGATGTGCTTTGTGGATCAAGGATTAAGATTGCCATCTTCTTTCGAAGAATGCCTGGATCAACCAGGTTCAAACTTCAAACACGCATTAATTATCAAATTGAACAAACGCACATGCATTTTTGTCACTATCAAATATGAAATAGCTGTTTGCGGTCATCTTGTTTAAATGAATGCAGTTTCATAGAGCTTACATACTTGGAACAATCAAGTTTAAAGTTCACACATCAGCTGAATTGTATATCTTGTTTCTAAAATACAAACAGGGACTATGACATTGCAATTTATTGACTCCC